TAACTATAATTTTTTATAAACATGAATTGATAGCAACACGATCTTTTTTTGTTTGCCCTCAAACCTAACAATTAGACATGATAATTTTTGGAGAGAGAGGTTAATTTATTATTTGATTAATAAATTGAAATAATTGATTTATTATTGCATTATGAAAATAATATATTAATTAGAAATCATATCATTTAATTAATATTTAATCATAAGTTAATTAGAATTATTTTTGGGATTAATTGAATTAATTAAAAGTGTAGGGTCTGTTTGGCAATTTATTAATAGTTGAAGGAAGAGGCTCTAGAATCTCCCTATAAGAGGTTGGACGGAAACTTCTAGGAAGGGCCTAGAATTTTTTATCCAAGGGATCTTGGATGGAGGCTCATGTGTTGCTTGGTCACCAAGCTAAGGGGTTGGGGTTTCCTCCTTAAACCCTAGATTTAGCTCTAAGCTACCTCACATATATAAATTGTCTCACCCTCTCAATTTCGGCCACTGATCCCTAATCCAAGAGAAGGCTAAAAATTACCCTCCCTTATCTCTCCACAACATCCTTCTTGCTAGCTTGTGTGTGAACCACTAGAGGCACGACAATTATGGTACTTGCTTCCGGAGGATCAAAAGCTATGTTTGATGGGTTTTGAGCATTCTAACACTCCGATGGTGTACATGCAACCCTAGAAACCCTGGATCTATGTTTAACTATGATACATGCAAATTTGATTTTCTAAGGTTTATAACCTATCTACCAATTATGGGAACTTTTAAACATGAAAGCTAGTAAGAGATACATACCTTTTGTTGCTGGAATTCCTTTGAGATCCTTGTGAGCCTAGCACCCCAAATGTGATGCCTCAAATGCTTCACATAACACCAAATACACTTGGAATAACTTAGAGAGAAATGTAACACACTAAAAAATCGGCTATGCCCTCTTGTTCTTCATTAGTTGTCGATTTTGGTAGCTAACACATCCATTTTATAGTGTGTCACAAGTAGTGTTACACCATGTAAACCCTAAATGACATGACTTTTCATTTCTTGGATCCATGGGTTCAAAACCACCATATATTTTAGCCCAACTCAATACATCATGGACTACATGCCCACTATTAAAGAAATAGATGTTTACACAATTAGCCCATATATTTAATTAGTCTCCTTTTGATCAAAAAATTAATTCTAAATTAATTCTTGATTAATACTAGTTAAATAATATTATTAATATATCATAACCTATAATATATTAATAAACCATAAGTGTCATTTTCTCTCATTTTAGTCTACCCAAGTGCATGATGCCATGCAACCTAAATGGACTAGGCCAAACCGGGTCAAGTACATACTAGAAATAGTTATGGACTTAGACACCTTTTCCAACAATGTTCTCTTTCTTTGTTTCTAATATTTGAAAATACATAGGTATCCTTAGGGTTCTTATTTGATGTTTAAAGATGTATGTTCAATTAGAGAAAACATAGATCAAAATTAGGGTTGCATGCATACACATGATTTTATTTGTTTTACATAAAACCCATCAGTTACCACATTCATTTCTTGCCAAAACAGTTAGAGATGCAACACATAAGGTCAGTCTTGTAGACTTACATTCTAGATTTAGATAAGTTATTTGAAAGGATGACCTATTTAGGTTATTCTTTGATTCAAATTACTCAATGCTCAAATGTTGCTTGGTTTGTGCTTTTATGGTTTTCAATTACCAAAAAAGTGCTTAACACTAAAAAGCTTATCACCTTAACCCATTAAGACCTTGTAGAACATGAATAGAAGGGAAGAAATGATGAATATCACATTTTTATGCTTCTAGACACTTTAAAATGCTTGAAAGCACAACTTAAATGGATTGGAGTAGCTCATACTCAAAATACCCAACTAATGGGACCAAAAGGACACAAACTTCATGACTAAATTAGATCTATGCATAGCTTCATCAAGATCAAAGTTTTTTTCCCTCAAAGTGATGACAAATGGTGATGAGATGCTAGATCCAAAGAGACCTACTCCTTCAAGATGATATTCTCTTATTTCTTTCTCCTTTAAAGTGACCAGAACACACACACATGGCTCAATAGTGCTCAAAAATGGATTAGGGTTTGCAAAAATCGTATAAAGATGTTTGAGGATGATTAGAGATGAGGTTGGAGGTCATAAAGATGCTTAAATAGGCTCCAAACCCTATTTTAGGGTTTAACACCCTCGTTCGTACGCCATGCATACACGATGTACGCCCAACGTACTAGCCTTGCATATGTACGCCCAACTTACACGACGTACGCCCACCATACTAACCTTTGGCCCACATTATGAAAATGATACTATGGGCCATTTTGCAATCATTCTGATGCACAAGGGCTAAAATGCAATATTTTTTCATGCATAGGGTTAAAATTTAAAATACCTCATCATTGGGATGTTACAATTCTCCTCCACTTGAACTAGACTTCGTTCTCGAAGTCCGTTGTTGCAAATAACTCAAGATAATGCTCCCGCATATCTGCCTACGGTTCCCAGGTCCACTCGGAGCCCTTCTAATGTTGCCACTAGACCTTTACCGAATGTATCTCCTTGTTGTGTTGGACCTTCATATTTCTCTCCACCACTGCTACTGGCCTCTCAATATAAATCAGACGCTCATCAACTTGAATATCATCCAAAGGGACCACTTCCTGATCGCCCAACATGCACTTCTTCAACCTCGAAACATGGAAAGTGTTGCGGATCTGACTGAGCTCATTCGGAAAATCCAACCGGTAGGCCACCTTGCCTACCCTGGTGATCACACATAATGGTCTAATTTATCGGGGACCCAATTTCCCCATCTTATTAAAGTGTATCATACCCTTACGGGGTGATACCTTTAATAAGACCATAACATCAACCTAGAACTCCAACTCT